GAATTGAACTGATCAATCGTGGGGGGTCCTGTGACTTGAAAGCGTTGGCTTGTTCTTTTCCTGGCGCCCCGTGTGTCCAATTTGTTGTTTGGTCTTGGTAGGAAGGATGGCATGGTGTTGTCACCGCCATGTCCAGTGCTGAACTCATACAGGCTTCACAAAGGGAGATATCGCCAATGACAGCCACATGCCGAATCTGGTAGCAAGAGCTGACGATTGGGAGTTCTGCGGCGTGCAAAGGTGGCGGTTCGCTGTTCTTGGGTTTTTTTGGTCAATGGCAGGAGATGGTTCGAGCCGTTCCTGAGTTAACGGCTTTAGGGGTGCACTTGCTTAAGAATATTGTTTATGTTCCCCTGTTGGTTTCAAAGGGAATCTATCACTGCTGGACATATGCTCTCACATGTTTCCAGCCGCGAAAACGCAAATGGAAGTATGGATTCCTGAGGCCAAGGGGGCAGGGGGCAAAGTGTAAACAGCTAAGCTCTGGGCCCCATGGGCACTAGGCCCCTTTGAAGCAGGAAACCATCCTGCCACAGTGTTGAGTAAAATGTGGAGCACATCCTCTGAGAGGTGCTTGGGCGCTTCCCAAGCTGAGGGGTGCGACCTCACAAAGGTTCTTGTAAAATGGCGACTCCAAATTTGAGGGGTTGGATTGGTTCCCTTCACTTCCACTACAACAAACAGGGAGCCTCGTCAAGATGAAAAACATCTTCCAGGTAATTGTCTTGTGAAAGCCAAGGCTAAAAATTGCACGGGCGCCAGGATGTGAAAACCGTTTTGCGGGTTCACCCAGTTTGACACAAGCCCAATCCTAGAAATCCAGCTCAGGCGCCTGGTACAAAGCCTCGTGGTGCGGGAGAGGCAGGGACCATGCGGAGGTTTGACCCGGATGAGTCTGAATTCTTGGTGGTTCCCAGCCATCCCTTTGGTGCATTTTGCATTTTGCCAAGGGATGTTAGGACTGAATAACTCTTTGCCAACTCATGGGTGTTCCGAATTAAACCACTAAAAGTTAGTCACTTTTTGCAGGGGAGCAGCAAGCAACCGAGATCCGCTTCCTTAAGTTTTTTGGTTTTCAAGGTTTAGTGGTAGTTTCCAGGATTCCACTCACCCACTAAAAGTTCAGCTTTTGGCAGGGGATTTGAGGCCGCACAAGCATATAGGTTGTCAAGCGAAGTATCAAAGGAACCTGCATGGTACGAAGCTCAGTAATCTGTGGGCTATGGAAGATGCTACGTGTTGCGTGTACAAAGATGAACTCCCAAGAGCTGTGAGTGCCTGGAGTTGGAAAAGCGTGGCCCGTGCGGTCCTTCGGCACGTGTGCAAACCACAGGGCGCGACGCGGGCGAAGGGACCATTGACAGGGCTTGCGCGGCCATCAAACCGCGAAGCCTCGGCATGCTGCGCGCTTTCGCAAGGCCGAACCTCGGAAACGTGCGGTTGTTTTTGGCAGTGTTGACTAGGGAAGAGAGGGAGGGAGGACGGAGGGAAGGAGGAACGGAGGGCGAAGGGACGGAGGGACGCAGGGACGCAGGGACGGAGGGACGGAAAGGAGGGACTGAGGGAGAGAAGAGAGAGAGAGAGAGAGAGAGAGAAAGAGAGAGAGAGAGAGGGAGAGAGAGAGAGGGAGAGAGGCAGACAGTGCAAGAAAGAGAGAGAGAGAGACAAAGAGAGAGAGAGAGAGAGAGGGGGAGGAAGGAAGGGAGGGAGGGAGGGCAGAGGCAAAAGCAGAGGCAGAGGCAAAGACCGAGAATCAGAAGGAGAGAGGGACAGAGAGGAAAATAGAATAGAGAAATAGAAGGAGCAAGAGAAAGAAGAAGAGAAACACGCTCCTCAATCTTGGATCCTGGATGGGTTGTTTAGACGTCACCTTTCGGCAATTCGAAGTGAGCTTCCTTTTGGACCCTGATTGGCGTCGCGAAAGCATGAGTAAGAAGGGTGACCTCAAATTCGACTGTCTTACAATGGTCGGTACTGTTAGCTCTTTGGTTCTCCGTCACTTGGTGGCTCCCAGCCATCCGGTTCCTTAGCTTTTTGGCTTTTCGGGTTTAGAGAAAGTTTCCATTTAACCCACAAGCTAAACTTTTATCAGGGCATCTGAGGGCAGCCCATGTCAAAAAAGACTACCTGAAGAGCATCCTTGTTCCCTATTCCGGTGAATGGGGCGCACCGAGAAAGGAACTCGTCCTCCGAATTTGTATGGGCGCATGTCAAGACACCAGCGTCAAAAGCAGGGGTGCACAGAATTGGTGCCCGTCAACCTACAGGAGTGCGACTATGCAAGAATCAGATTCCGGGTGCGAAATGGCCCGTAACGCCCATGACTTGTATGTTATTCAAAAACCAGCCAAAAAGGGGACGCATGAGCTTCTATGTTAAAGATCCCCTGTTTAGCAACCAGACCCTGGCCCATTTTAGCGCAGTCCCCCCCCTTTTGGGTTTCAGTAACGTACAGTAGTAGCTGGTATCAAACCCACAAACAGATGAAAGCGGGGAAGACAAGACGCGGACAGGCGCTATTTTGGTGTAGCCAAAAAGGTGTCTTTGGTTCCCCATTGTACTTCGACCAAGACGAGGGGGCATTAAGAAGAAGCAAATAGTAATCCCAGAAAACCAAGTATAAGGAATATAAACATATGAAGCATACATAAGATATAGTTCTTCCAAGATGTAGAAAATTTAAAGCAAAAGACAACTGATGCACCAGTAGAATAAAGACAACGTAAACACAATCCATGATGTATGTCTTCAATCAAGAAGAAACACTACAGTTTGATGAATGATGTCTGATGTTACATAAGAAAAAAAAAAGAAAAAGAAAAACGATACTGTATGATGGAAGGACAGGGATATGATTGCAAATAATATTTCATGAGTAGTACAGAATAGATATTCAACATTATAATCATATGTTTGCAATTGGGGGGAGTGATAGCCTCTTACTGCCCTCACCAATACAATGCCAACCAAAAAGGTGTCCTGTAGGTTCTCATTGATGGCGCCACAACAGGAGTAGGTCAGTCCACAAAAACAGAGATGTTACCATTTCTAGTGGTTTCCATTTTGAGTTTAGCAAGTACCAACAAACAAAGATTATTATGCCTGTTTCATTCCGCCAAAAGGGGGCCCGTTTGATTGAACCAGAGAGTGGGCACAAGTTATGTTTCCAAATATTGCGAAGAAACCAACCATATCCGCAATATGTATATATATATATATGTATATATAGAAAGCCTGCTAAGAAGCCCGGAAAACAAGGAGTTTCCACCTTGTTCCGCCACTTGCAATACTGCAGGAATGTACCGCCCGCCCTGTTTGACCAAGGCGACAAGGGGGACCAAACCAAAAGAGGTGTCCATGCGGTTTTCCTTTTGAGTCCACCTCTCCAGGAGTGGTGAAGGTAGCCGACAAGACGCACCAATTTCCCTTTATGCCATGCCCGCGTCAGTTTTGTTCGGCAGGTTTGGCACTGTGGAGGTCGTCAAAGGCGCGCGAGTGCCGGCCCTCTCCTTAAGGGTGCTGTCGTGACGATGTTTTGAGCCCGACGGAAAGACAAATAAGCTGAAGCAGAATGAGCACGATAACAATCATAAGAAGAAGCGGAAGAAGAAGAAGAAGAAGAGGAAGCAGACGAACAATGGTGAACAATAATATTCCCGGTCCCACTTTGTGGGCCCACCTTTGAGTCAAGCTTGCGTATTGGATTGGACCAGTCCCCTATCGGTTGGTGGAATGGTATGTGAGAGCCCCTATCCGGCTTCGAAAAAGAGGCCCATCTCGTAGGTGAAGCAAGGAGGATCCTTGGGTCATCGAACCATCCCGATCCGAGCCTTTGGGTGTCTTCGGGTTTACCATCTGGTTGGTGTCTTCGGGTTTGCCTTACCCCAAATCCAGAAACAAAGACAACCGGGCAAATTTGTGTCCATGTTCCAGAGCTGGAAAACCATCTTGGTTGAACCAGTCAGTGAGTTTGTCTCCAAGTCGGATGTGGAAGCTTCAACATGGGTTTGCTTCAAAGCCAATTAAACCCTTCATCCCTATGCCAGATGGTGGTTTCCCTTGTGATGTCAAATGGATTGCGGACGAGGACTGAGAGTGCCCTGAATTTGGAACAACCCAACTTGGGTTCGCTAGGTCGCCAAAATCCGCGGCGCAGAAGGCAGGGTGTTTTGTTTCTGTCGCTCCGGCTCGTTGCTCACGAGCGAGTGTGCTTTCGTGAGGCCAAGATTTGTGTGACGTGTCCGTGAACAACGCGCGGCATCTCAGTTTTTGGTCGGTTCGGAAGGGGGGACAAGGATAAGTTTACCCTTTGATCCCCCCACAAATGGCGCTTTGTTAGGGTATGGGATTCTGGAGAAGCGACTTCCAGGTTTTTCTTTCGTATCGGATGTGCAGTTGGATCCCTTTGTGACCCCACTTCCAGACCGGATCGCTCAAAGTTCTTCCAGATCGGAACTCTGCAGAGCGGCAAGGGAATGAATTCTTCCATTTCCCTCTTTGCACCTCTCCGAAAGGGGTCCCTAGTGGTTGGTTCTTCTTTTCCCCTTCAGCCAGCCAAAATAGTTCCCCGGCGATGAGCTCCTGCAGCTTAGATCAGCAGAGTACAAAAGGAGCCAGAAGTCGCGAGTCCATAGGTGCCCCCTTTGATGACCTTCATAGATGGGCAACCCAACTGGTCCAGATGGCTTTGTCTTTCTTTGCGGGTACCCTTTTTTCGCGGTTTCAAAAGGAAAGCCGCCGTCTTTAGGAAAGCGTCCTAAAATCCTAAAGAAAAGCGAGGCAAAAGTATGGGTGTTCTAAAGGTTGATATCGTTCTTTTCAAAACACGCCGTTTTCCCTGGGATTCCGGAGGTTTTCTAGAAAGCTTCGGATCCCTGGAAAGAATGAAAATGAAAGGTACCCCTAGAAATGTTCTGCTGCCCCAAGAGCTGGTTGCGCAGCCCGGAAAAAATCGCCAAGATCAGGTGGCTGCCCTGGAGAACTCCCGCTTCGTGGGCGCGATGGCCGCCCTGGACCCCCGCATACCTTGCACAGAGCCTCAGATCCGGCGCAGCGGGGGGGGGGGGGGGGGAAGCTCTTGGTTTCCCACAAAAACGGGTCTTTGTCGTTGTGTTGGGGGGCTAAACTTGTTTGTTTTTGGTTGTTTTTTTCCCGAAAGCATCGCGAAGGGTTCTTCCGTGCGGAGCCCTTGGACAAGTTACATAGAGCCAAGTTACATAGAGCCAAGTTACATAGAGCCAAGTTACATAGAGCCAAGTTACATAGAGCCAAGTTACATAGAGCCAAGTTACATAGAGCCAAGTTACATAGAGCCAAGTTACATAGAGCCAAGTTACATAGAGCCAAGTTACATAGAGCCAAGTTACATAGAGCCAAGTTACATAGAGCCAAGTTACATAGAGCCAAGTTACATAGAGCCAAGTTACATAGAGCCAAGTTACATAGAGCCAAGTTACATAGAGCAAGTTACATAGAGCCAAGTTACATAGAGCCAAGTTACATAGAGCCAAGTTACATAGAGCCAAGTTACATAGAGCCAAGTTACATAGAGCCAAGTTACATAGAGCCAAGTTACATAGAGCCAAGTTACATAGAGCCAAGTTACATAGAGCCAAGTTACATAGAGCCAAGTTACATAGAGCCAAGTTACATAGAGCCAAGTTACATAGAGCCAAGTTACATAGAGCCAAGGTTAGGTAGAGCTTAGAGCTTCGGCGTTAGCAGCTATGTAAGTTAGTTTAGGTTTCTAAGGCGCCGGGGCGGGAGTTTGATCGTCGCTCGGGATTGCGACCCTCTGCGGAGATTCGCGTGGTCGAGGTTCAAAAACTGAGGACTTTTTACGATTTCTGCATGCCGCGCGCGACCCTCTGCGGAGATTCGCGTGGTCGAGGTTCAAAAACTGAGGACTTTTTACGATTTCTGCGGGCCGCGCGCGACCCTCTGCGGAGATTCGCGTGGTCGAGGTTCAAAAACTGAGGACTTTTTACGATTTTTAGCATGCGCGCGCGACCCTCTGCGGAGATTCGCGTGGTCGAGGTTCAAAAACTGAAAACTTTTTACGATTTCTGCGGGCCGCGCGCGACCCTCTGCGGAGATTCGCGTGGTCGAGGTTCAAAAACTGAGGACTTTTTACGATTTCTGCTGGCCGCGCGCGACCCTCTGCGGAGATCGTGCGCGTCGAAGCGCTCTCGCTGTGGCGCCGTGCGAATTTGTCTTAGTCTCGGCGAACCCTCTGCGGAGATTGTGCGTGTCGAAGCGCTCTCGCTGTGGCGCCGTGCAATATTCTTGCTCGCGAAACGGCCTTTGGAAGTTGTCTCGTGGTTTGCGCGCCTGCTTTCGCAATCCCGCGGTCGCGGGTTCGATTCCCCCCTGGTCCGCGGCAGCTCCGGCTTGAAAATCGCAGCTTTTAAGTACAAACGTAGTACGCGGAGCGTGCTCCTGCAGACGTAGTGTGCGGAGCGTGCTCCCGCAGCTCAGGCTAGAAAATCGCAACTTTTAGGTACAAACGTAGTACGCGGAGCACACCCCCGCAGCTCCGGCTTGAAAATCGCAACTTTTAAGTACAAACGCAGTACGCGGAGCGTGCTCCTGCAGGTCCGGGTGGAAAATGGCAATTTTTAAGTACAGACGTAGTATGCGGAGCGTGCTTCCGCAGCTCAGGCTGGAAAATCGCAACTTTTAAGTACAGACGTAGTACGCGGAGCACACCCCCGCAGCTCCGGCTGGAGAATCGCAACTTTTAAGTGCAAACGTAGTACGCGGAGCACACCCCCGCAGCTCCGGCAGCACTTGCGCAGAGCAACTTGCGCAGAGTCACTTGCGCAGAGCAACTTGCGCAGAGCAACTTGCACAGAGCAATTGCACAAAGCACTTGCGCAGAGCAACTTGCACAGACCAACTTGCACAGAGCACATGCGCAAAGCGCTTGCACGGAGCAACTGGCGCAGAGCCCTTGCGCAGAGCAACTTGCTCAGAGCACTTGCGCAGAGCAACTTGCACAGAGCAGGCGCAGAGCAACTTGCACAGACCAACTTGCGCAGAGCACATGCGCAAAGCGCTTGCGCGGAGCAACTGGCGCAGAGCACTTGCGCAGAGCAACTTGCTCAGAGCACTTGCGCAGAGCAACTTGCACAGAGCACTTGCGCGCAGCAGCTTGCAGAGAGCAACTTGCGCGCAGCAGCCTGGAACAATGCAGCTTGCGCAGACCACTTTCGTGAGAAATCGCGCGGCGCAGTTCGAGAGGAAAGTAGGATGATGAGATGGAGCTCTCATGTGACCATACACACTGAGCATCGCCGCGCGCAGACACGCTCGCCGCAGCGATGTAAAAAGGTGTCTCCGCGGCTGGATGAGCACCTGTGGAAAAATGCTTTCGGGCCAATCGTCCTCTAGTTAGACATTGTTTCAGCCAATCCACTCTGGAAGTGAGTTTGGGGCGTAAGGTGTTTCCCTGTTTGGTGTCCCTTGATACCACAAAAAAAGGGATAGAAAAGCGCACACACACACACACATGCAGGGAAACCGAACTCGGAAAAGGACACGACCTACCTTTTGGGCCTCCTATTTCAACACACACACACACCATGCGCCTGTGTGTTTCTGTGTTTCTGTGTTTTGTGTTTTTGTGTTTTTGTGTTTTTGTGTTTTTGTGTTTTTGTGTGTTTGTGTGTTTGTGTGTTTGTGTGTTGTGTGTGTTTTTGTGTTTTTGTGTTTTGTGTTTGTTTTTGTGTTTGTGTGTGTGCGCCCCCGCTGCGGGTAGTCATGGTCCCCCGATATCTGGCTCTCCCTTCCCCATGGCTTGTGGTAGTTCCTGTGTCCGAGAGTCCGAGACGGCAATTGGATTTCATGTCGGGTGTCCGGCCATTGGCTCTTCGCCACTTTCACGAGATCAATCTTACCACCCCCGGGCTGCTTGGTCCCACATGACCGAAGCTCAGAAGATCTGTGCCAATACTGGATCATCCTTTACGGTTCAGCCAGTTTCCACGAGTTGACCTTTGACCACCCGGCTACAACCTGCCTCTAAGTGACCCTTGAGCTGCCTTTTCACACTTGAGGAGGCCTGACCTGACTTTTGTGGCAGGCGCTTTAAGTCCCACACAACAAGAAGTTCCTACATAGGTTGCCAAGACATTTGAGCATCAAAATTTGGCAGTCAGCTGCAGTGAGCGACGTGCCTACGAAGTTCTTTCGATTCCAAAGCATGAGTGTTTCAGTCAAGATGAGTGGCGGTAAACAAGGGATCCGTTTCCTCAGATTCGTGAAGGATCTGTGAATTGGTTGAAGCCGAATCCGTTGAGTCTAAATGGGAATCCCAAAATCTTCACAGGGCTTGTCCGTGCTTCGCCCTTTTGGCCATGCCTTCTTTGCAGCATGTTGCTTGGATGTCAGGACTTCAACTTTTTGCCAACTCTTGGGCTTTCCGAATTAAGCCACCAAAAGTTAAAAACTTTCCGAATTAAACCACTATAAAATAATAATAAAAAAAAAAAAAAAAAAAAAAAAAAAAAAAAAAAAAATGTTAGCAGGGCTTCGCAGATTTCGCCCCCGAGCCTTCGCATCCGCCAACAGAATCCGCCTCGAGGCTTGGGCCGCTTCATTAAGCACTGGGCATCGCGGCCGGGAGCTGAGGATCGATCGATTCGCCAGGCCATGCGGCTCGCCTGGCAAGCGGTGCCCGTTTTTTGGGGGCGGCTTTGACAAGGGAAAGCAAAAAACGTCTAGGGGCACCTTCCATGTCCATGCTAATTGAACCCAGGGATCCGAATCTTTTCAGGAAATCATCCAAAAACCCCTTTGAACGGCCGGTTTTTGAAAGGAACGATGGCTGAAAAGAATGGGATCGGAATCAACCCCTGGAACAAGGCCAACCGCTTCGCCCAGTTTTTTCGGGTCCCAATCGACTCCTTTTTTCAGATCGATTCCCCAACGGCAGAATTTTTGTGGTTCATTCTTTAGGCGCAGATAGGTCGCCCCTGTTCCAATTTGGTTTCAAAGGGTGGTTTCCTCTACGGGAAATGGAATCGCATTGTCTGTAACCCCAAAATGGGGTTTCCCTTTGTAAATGGAAGCATGGACTAAAACCTGCGGTCCATCTCCTGGTGACCAATTTTGACCCATACTCGAATCCCTCCAGGCGGAGGGGGCGTGGTCCTGGTGTTTTTTTGTGTTTTTTTTGGGGAGGGCGTCAGCTCAACCCGCTTTAGACATATATCCGGATCACTTTCGGGAGAGCAATGAAATACCCAAACAAAAACAGTTGAAATCAAGCAGTGCGTGTTCTTTACCAGAAAAGAGTCATTTAAAGCACATGTCTTATTCAAAACGAGAGTTCTTGACTTCTCCAAACCAAAACGTTGTTTTGTTCGGATGGCTCGACAAGTGTAAGTTTTGTGTACGTTAATCGAGGATTGGGAGGAAATAGCAACAGAGCTTACAAGTGCGGAAAGCTGTTCGAAGTCTGTTCGACAAGTGTTGGACAGTTGACCGTTAGGGCCCAAATCACATAGTGCCTGGGCCCCTATACTGCAATGTTTGGCGATTTTGAACATCACCTTTTTGGCCGTTTAGGCGCGTTTCCCTACAACAGGGAACGAGGGAATGTCCCCTATAAACCATCCCTTTATGGTTCCTTGAAGGGAAGTCCCCAGGTTCATTCCCTCATTCCCTACTGAGCACCAGCGAGTTTGTGACACCCCTGTTCGATTTGTGTGCTGTGAGGCGCAGGATCAACAATCGCTCGGAGGGCACTCTGAGCACCTATACACTGATCCTGCCGAGACCTGAATGGGGGAGGGCTGCGCCCCTCAAATCGGTGGGTCCTTGCTCAAGTCCAACAGGGCCAATTCGACCGGAACCACCAAAATAAGCAGGGGACAAACGCCTGGCATCTGCAAAACATGTTCTTTTTTGACCTGGTTGTGTTTCTAGACAAAAACGCGTTGGCTTTGGGGGGCGGGGGTCCCGATGTTGAGACAAGCTCAATTCATCTTCACCGTCGTTGGCATGTTGTTGTGTTTTAGGTTGTTTGGTTCTGTTTATTTTGTTGCGGGGCGTCCAATCAAAAAGTTGTTTGCTACCATACCAAGGGGTGTAAAGTTATATCTACAAAGAATAGTGCACATAACCCTTTTTTGGCCTCACGTTGCATTTGATGCACCAGAAGCTCAACCGCTTGCGTGGAAGCTGAGTAAAGGTGGTCAAAACGCAAGAAACCGTCGCCTCCTTTTGCCAATCTCAACATGATTCCCCGCTGAGTTTGCTATGGAGTCTCGGCCGCTGTGGAGTAGTTTGGAGCAGTTCGGGGGCTACCCATGGTTGTTGTTGGGAAACATTCTTATTTTTGCTTATTGTGGTTTAGTGGGAAATCCCCACTAAGCTGCTAAAATTTAAGTGTTTGCTCCCCTTCCAACGTCAACCAAGTACCTGGGCTTGTGTTTTGGGTGAGAGATATCGTTGACAGCTCCGGTGGGATCCGCGCCAGGAACCTGCCTTGAGAAAAGCAGAAGGACGTAGCATGTTCAAGCAACGTGGGTGCGTTTGTTGAGGGAAGCCTTTTTGGGGTGTTTTACAGTGGGGGGTCACCCCGTTTTTGCATACCCAAATGTGGGTGGTTGTGGGAACCCTTACAAAATGGAGGCCCCTCTGCTCCTTGAGTAATCCTTTCTTTCATTCATTCAGTGGGAACCCCCTGCAGCTTCAAAATAAATCGAGCAAACTTCAACTTTAGGATTGCTGTTCGGTTTTCTTTTGGGGTGCCAGTGTCGGAGGCAGCTGTTCTATGCGATGCAAAAGCGGGATCCTCCGGTGCTGCCGCTGGTGACCCACATCCTCAAAGGATTGGAAGGCGCGTATTTCTTCCGTACGGGCGAGACGGGAGACGGGGGGGCGAACCGCAAACCGAAAATCGAGACCTCAGGTCACCCCAGGTGGTTCGGTTGCAGCACATTGATGGCACGGAGAGGGAGAGAATCGGAGAAGAGAAAGACAGAAAGAAAGAAAGAAAGCAAGCAAGGAAGAAAGAAGAAAGGAAGAAAGGAAAACAACATAGAGACAGAAAGACAGAAAGAAGAAGGAAAGGAGAGGCAGGAAAGAAGGACAAAACGAAGGACATGAAGAAGGGAAGAAAGGACGAATTTGGTTTGGATTTGAAGCCATGCGCGAAACCAAGGGCCCACACCTCCAAACCAACTACCAACGAGAGAGACGCTGATCCGTTGATGCCCGTTTGTCCTTCTGGGCGCACATTCAAAAGTTCAATCAGGGGGCCTGGACCCTGTTATCCGAATCCAGAGGTCACGTCAGAAACCTTTGGGCAAAACTTCCAGTTGCTTGAGAATATGTGTTATTTCCCCCTGCTGGTTTTAATTGGCATTTATCACTACTGGATAGTTGTTTTTTCCAGGGGGGGAAAACATGGATGAACAATTGTTTTTTTTGCAGAAAAATCCCCTGTTTGCCTTGGGGCCTCCTCTGTTTCTTGCGGACCAAGCCCCCGCTGCCGAAACTCACCGCCTCAGGCAACCCGGGCGAGGCGCAACTGCTTGTTGCGCGCAGTGGGCGCTGTGTGAGCGTGTCTTTTTTGAAGGAGCCACTTCTTGGAGAACTGAAAGGACAACCAAAGAAGGGCTTCCAATAGGATACATCCCCAACAGCATGTGGTGCTCTTTTTAGTGCTCGCACCACCCCGCAGCCCTCGTAGAACCTCGTGGTGGAACCCTCGTGGAACCTTACCTCAGGGCCGCCCCGAACCACCCCGGAGCCTATCTGGGCTGAGACCCCAAAGCTTTCAGCTGATGGGGGGAAAAAACACCGACGAAACCTTTTTTTTGAGGGAGAAAGGAAGCTGACAAAGAGGCCTTCGACTAAGTGTCAAAAGGAAAGCAATTTGGGAAGTGCTTGCGACAGAGGGCTACTATGAATTTCAATGTCTCACTTCCTGAGTTGCTGGGCTTTAAAATGGTAAACAAAAAAGCCCCATCTACGTGATGTCCACAATAAGGGTACCCTATTGAAATTTGGTTCGTGTGTGACTTTTTTCCGAGGGTACACGTCAATCAGGGTGGTTCAAAGGGAAGTGAAAAAGGACACTCGAAATCCACCTTCCGGGGTTCGATTCTTGTGCTTTTCCTTTTTTTCACACATGTGACATAGCCAAATCCCCAGCCCCTAAAAGTGTCTGGAAGAGAGTCAGGAAGGACATTCGTCCAATCACCGGAATTGTGGAGACTGTTTGTGTCGATAAGGGTTTCTGGTCCCCGCATGTTCCGCAAAAGGCAACCACCAGCACCAAGCACTTGGCGAAACAGGGTGACCCCCAAAATGGGTGATCTTCTCTTTGGATGTTCCTTCAAAACCTCCACAAGGGTACCAACTACTCGGGTTCCTTTCGTGGAGATTCCTTTTTCGATTTTTTGACTGGCTGGTTTCAGTACAATGTTGCCCACTCGGACCATCACACTACCCATAAGAAAAGGTGATTGGTTCTTTGGAGAAATATTGGTTTGTGAATAATTCACAAACCCTTTCTTTCTGGAGGCCTTTGTTGTGGCTGGCCCTCCACGCGCAGGTGCCGAAGGCGGTGAACCGGCTGCAGTTGCCCCCGGAGATGGCCCGAGCACCCCAGCGCGCGCGTGGCGGTTTGGTGTCACCAGTACCCCTTTTCGGTGGAACCCAAAGGGCTGTGGCCTCCCCTGAAAATGTTTCGGGAGCCTAAAAAAGAATTCCCGAAAAAGATGGAGATGAAAATCAAGAGGAGGGTTTTTTGGAGTTCGCGAATCCATTTGATGTGTTCAAATATGGCTGTGGCTCAAAAAACCGGAACCAAAATGGAACTCTGGTAAGTGGAAACATGGACCAAACCCTGCGGTTTGCCCCTCCTGTTTAATTTTGAGCCACACCCATACTGGTTTTTGTTCAGTTTCCCTCGGCAAGCGGCACCTGGGTACCCGCAGAAGAAAAAGAAGCGGGCGCCCAGCAGTACCAACCGGTCAGGACGACAGATCCGGGGAGCTGCGATCTTTGCTCCAAGCTCAGCCGGCGATGTCCGCCTCTTGCGGATCGGAGCGGCTTGAGGAGTTGGAAGAGAAACCCAGATGGGTGTGTCTTTGTTTAGGTCTTTGTTTAGGGGACCCCTCAAAACGGTGATTCACCTCTTGGTGTCCCTTTAAAACAGTACCCTCAACAAAAAGACCGACCCGAACTGGACGGTTTTACTTGCTGGTGCTACCCAGTCCCGGTGTTGGAACCGCGTGGGATTCCCTCAAAGGAAGCCATAGGCGCTGAGTTATAGGGGTAATTTCCTCGTTCCCTGCTGAGAAGCAGCACGTTTAGCAATTGCAAGAGAATCCAAGATGGACGTCACTGGTTTGGAGTATCAGTTCAGTTGCCAAACCACACGGCCGCTTTCTGGCATTTCTCGAGCCCAAGGCCATGTTTGTTTCCTGCTTATGTCAGTTGGACCAACACAGGTCGCCGAAAAAGAACCGCTTCTTTGCTGTCACGGACTTGTGGAAAGCAATTTTCCGCAAGCCCTTGTCAGCAAGCATCTCCCTATGGTGGAGCTCAGCCGTGATGTAGATGGTGGAGCTTAGCTGTGATGGTACTTCAAGCGGTGGATCCGATCCCCAAATCGGGTTTTTGGAAGCAATATTCAGGCCCTTGAGTTTGATCGGGGGTGGTTTCTTGTGGGAATGCTTCACTTTGGGTGCCCTCCCCCCTCCCCCCAAACCGATCAATAGGATGTGTGTCTATTTCGTCCGGGCTTCTCATCAAGAATTGCAGCCTGGCTCAGGCCCTTCCTCACAGACCCAATGATGATCCGAGAGGCGGTTTGTACTTTGTCTCGCACTGGATGGATTTCTTGAGAGATCTTTCTTTGGAAACCCAAACTCGCAAGCTCGCGGATCATTGGCTTCAGGCAGATGGGCTGGACGGTTTTGCCTGAGGAAACTTTCTGGCCTGGGACCTGTGGAAACTGCCACGCCGGCCCCACTATATCAAAGTTACCCCCGTGGTTCCCAGCCATACGGTGCCTCAGGTTTCTAGCTTTTTACTTGGTGGGAATGTCCATTTGACCCACAAGTCAGACTTTCGGCAATCTGAGGACAGCGCAGCAGGGCGAAAGGGAGCCAACCAGTTTCTGACTTGAGCCCCTGGTCGGCCAGGATGGGCGATTCTGCGAGCAGAACACGGCACGCGACCCAGTGAGGGGGCTTTTGGGGGACGTCAGATGTGCGCCGAAAATCCTCAGAAAGGCCACAGGCGGTTCTACTGCCTGGTTTTATGGCGGTTATACTTCACGGTTTTTGTTAGGTTGTTAAGTTCTATGCAGGTTAGTTGGGGCTGCAGAAAAGCAAAGTTGCTTGCTACCATACCAGGGGTTGTAAAGTTATAGTAAGGCCTAGATAATTCTTTGCAGCTATCTTGGTGGAAACAAAGTCATCTGGGCTGTTCAAAGGCAATCCATGCTTAAGCCTTGGTCTGCAAAAGGGTTCTCACCCTGAAACAGGTTTCAAATGGTGACGGCTCTTCATCTTTTGTTGCGTTCAATGGTCCAAAGTCTAAGTGGGGCAAAAACCCTTTGGTACTTGCCAGGTTCTGCACACGGTTTGTGGGAAATAGGGTCCAATTCTTGAAAGTGGTTCAGGTCATGGATGGTATCACAGATTTCGGGTCCACAACCATCGGGCTTGCTCCGAGCCCTCCCGAAAGGATACAGGTCTTGAAAAAGATGAGAGGTGTCGTGTCTTGTCAATATTCTATCCCAGATCGGGTCCAAATCCCCGTAAGACATTCTAAGAATCAATTCCCTTGTTCCTTCAAACCGCAAGCTTGCATGTAAGCTCTTTGGGTAGCCCGAAGACCATAGTCAACCAGTCGCAGTTCAACCGAGGATATCACTCGCTCAAAACTCAGCCGCTTGTGGCTAACTTTCGGGCATAGGTCTGTCGTTTTTAGGGAACCTCGCAACATTGCTTTGGTTTTCATCTTGGTTTCTCTTTAGAACCAACCAAAAAGGGGGGTCTGGTAGAAACATCCGGGCCCACCTCCGGGTATGGGTTTGGCTTGGCCCGACTTTTTCAAGCCACCGCTTTTGCTTGTCGGGTCTTTTTTTCGTGGGGGTTTGACCGACAGCACGTGAGGTTCGGAAAAAAAGTTCTCAACTTGGTTTCCATCCATCCGGATCCTCAGGTCCTGAGGTGTTTTTTTTGAATCTGACCCACCAAAAGTTGAAATAGCACTTGAGTCACAATCAAAACCTGGGTAGATGAAGGTCAGTAAGGGACAATCCCGGCCATAAATAGCTGCGGCCGCCTTCTTAATTCTTTACATGGTTCTGGGTGGACCATTTTAGTACCAGGTTTTGATTATGACTCACTTCGGGCATTGGCGTCTTAACTTACGAACGCACGCACGCGCGTTCGTGGCTCGTCTAACGACCGTCTAACCACCGCGAAAAGAACCCTTTTCGTCACGCGGGGCACCAAAAGTTAAAAACTTTTGGCAGGTGATCTGAGGGCAGCTCAGTCAAGTAAGGGTCAATTTGAGGTTTGCGGGAGACGAAGTTTCCACGAAAACCAGGGCGCGGAATGCAAATTTCCCATGTGCATTAAGGCTACGATGCCCCCGCTATAATATATTGCAACTATAGGGGTACAAGTTGAACCCCCCAGTTTTGCCGTAGCTTACCATGGTCGGCTTCTTCTTGGTGTTGCTAGAAGGCCAACAAAAGGGGGTACCCTCAAAACTGACACACCCATAGTTTTGGTATGGTATAGCTTGACCATGGCTCGTGTGGGGAGTCGTCAAGCCCTTCAGCAGCAGTTCATCACCAAAACGGGCTACCTCTTGTGGAGGGACCAAACCCTTTTGGTTGATTTTCAACAGGGACACTAGGAGTCATTCGGGGTTATCCTTTGAGACAAGCCCATATGGAGATGTATGTTCTAATTAGATCCAACATGCGCAGGCTTCCTGTTGTTTTTTCTTCAAACAGGCCATACCAGGGAGTGAATTCTTCTTTTTTGATGCACTCACCGGATTTCTACCCGAATCTCTGTACCCTCCAACAAAAAAAACGGCGGACGTCTTCCTTTGTGGGTTCCCGTCCCCGGTGTCAGACGGCGAGCCTTCGCGTCTCGGCAAACGCCAACGGCAGGAGAGTCCCGACACCCTCCAACAAAAACCATAAACAAAACCCCCGACCGACGTCTTTAAAGTCCGTTCCTCACAGTCCAAGTCACCGTCAGATGGTCGGCTCTCTGTGCGTCTCAGACGCTGAGAACGGCGGCAAACGCCAGGAGAGCCAAAATCAAACCCCTGGTAAGTGAAGGTTAAGGGACGATCCCAGCCACAAATCGCCTGCGGAGACTTCCGCCTTAGTTCTTGAAGCATTCTGGGTGGACCATTTTGGTACCAGGTTTTGATTATGACTCACTTGGACCGCATTTTTGGTACCGAGCGGTTTTGAGCGACAAGCGTGGCTCAGGAGAGCCTGGGGGAGCTGCTGCGGGGCTTCTTCCAGCTCTGGGGCCACCAGGAGTCGCATCCGACCGAGCGCGAAGCGCGAAGCCGTCGAGTCGAGTCGCTGTGGCCCGGAAGGAGGGAGGGATGGAAAAACCCCGCCATCGTGGGCTGATTTGAAGATGTTTGTTTTTGTTCTTGTGTTTTTTTTAGGGAATCGATTTCACTACTGGACATATGTTTATTTTTTTCCAGGGGGGGAGGGGGGGGGGTCAAGCAAATGAAAGATAACCAAGAAGGTAGTTGAAAAAGAACTGGTCTACTGCACGGTTGTTGGATCATGTTTCTTAGGTTTCAGGCTTTTTGGGTTCTGTTAATATTTAGTGGGGAGCTGCAAAGAGCAGTCAGTTTTTTGCGAGCCCATACCCTTGGGGGTGTGAAGTTTTAAAGGTACCCTACCGCATTTGAACATAATGGCCCCCTCTAAACCCGCCAAACAGAAGGAAAACATGTGGATTCCAATGGGAATAGCAAATATGTGTTTTGTTCGGGCTAGGTGCCTGGGTTAGATTGGGAGCTATAGTGGTAAATGGAAGTACTGGGACTGGCTCACATCGAAGATTCCCACCATCAGACAGATTCGATGAGCCGGCTCGATTGACTTGTTCAAGAGCATCGACGTCAGAAGTCAACTTATTTGAGCTGATCCGAGTGTAGCACGATGCCTAAGCGTTAGCTGCAAAGGCTCAATGCGGCGTTGTTTTAGACGATGTGCCGCAAGCTGCCAGAATCCGCTTGGATTGCCAGACGCCGTGTTTGCCAAAGAGAGTCCGTGCCCACATATTGATGGCTTGTGCTACTTCTCCAGCGACTGGGCAGACATGCAACTGCCCTCCAAGCATAGGTTCCCTATCGACAAGTACCAGATGCTCACTCGCAAGCCGATAGGAAGACTTTTTGGCGTGCTTCTGATGTTAACCTGTGTTGGTCTACGGCCCTTGTTTGCTAGATGTTGCCAGAGGGTGTGTCGACCATGAATTGTGCTGGCAAAGCCGACACAAAGCAGGCACGTCTAAAGTTCCACTCCTTGCGTTCAGAGAGTAACAGGGAATCAGTGTGGCCATTGTTGTTTGTGATTTCCCTACTTTAACACACACACACACACTTGATTTGTTGGGCCATTTGCTTGCAATAGTACAATGTCAGTGTCACGCCTGACTGAGTGTCCAAGTCCTCGTTCGAGGGGTTCCTTCATTTGGGCGCGGCTGTGCTGGCCCGGCCTTGCAGGAGCCTCAAGCTTCGGACTGTCGCAGCTGTCCGGCACAAGCTCTGTCACACCTGTCCGTCACATCGTTTGTCACTGGCTTTGTCGGCAGGCAGCTGAGCCTCACTCAGCTGCCAGTCGCGTCGGCCGCAAAAAATGGTGTTTGGCCCGGCCGCCGCTGGCGGGAGCTTTGGGCTGTCATGGCTTTCCCGGCTTTTAGCTGTCACTGTCCGTCACAAGCTGCCTGTCTGTTTGTCACAGGCTGTGTCACAGCCCGTCATCGCAGGCTCTGTCGAAGCTGTTTGTCAGATCTGTTTGTCACAGGCTCTGTGTGGAGGCCGGATGTCAGTTGAATTCTAGCAAGCCCCACACTTTGGGGCCAGCTATTCTATGGCTTCTTCCATCCAAAATGGTGTCTGGATTGGATTCTGCAACGGGGCTTCCCACCCAAGCTCCACACCTGGCCCCAAACCTCCGAACCACACGAACTTCGAGGGAAGCTGAAATCTCAACCACTGTGGGCCCGGAATTGCGAGCCATCTTTCACCACGAGTGAGCATGAGCGGCTCCCCACTATCCACTCAGCTTGAGATTGGACCATGGCTTCAGAAAATGATTTGAGTTTTGAACCCCTGGTTCTTTGAGGGCAAAAGGGAAACCACCCGCCAAACTACCGAGTTCCAAGTTTGCAGGTTTCTTAGAGGTTTTCCGTGGTTTTTAGTTGGTTTAGATAGTCGTTGGGTTTCCGATGGTTTCCGTATATCACCCACAAGTTGTTCCCCTGTAGCAGGGGATCAGAAAGGGGACAGCCCAGACTTTAGCCGGTTTATTCCGTTTAGGGCCTTTAAATGAAAGGTGGGAAATATCAAATGTTTTCTCCTGGTTTCCCATTTCAAATGCTCATCCCATATATTCATTGGACCTTGTGATCAACCCCCAGCAGTTTTTCCGGTTCTGTTCATTTCTAGTGGGGGGGAAGGGGCTGGCCAAACGAAGCGCCACTCAGACCATGGGCAACTTTTCCCATGTGAGAAACAACATATGTTTCTCGTACGACTCTGTGGCTTGTTTTTGCCAACACCCGTCGCCTACCGCTTCAGCTGACTCCCAGGATGGTCAGGGGGCTGCTGGAGGCCGAGGACTTCCGCGTGCTCCCTGGGCCGTTGGCCACTTTCCACGAAGCGACCTTGGCCCACGAGCCCAGCTACGTGCGGAGGATTTTGCGTGGGGACGCCACGGAGGAGATGCGAAGGCAAAGGGGGGGTTGAAGCTTCGGGTGTGAAGTGTGAAGTGTTTTGTTTTCTTGTGTGTGTGTGTGTTGTTTTTTGGATTCGGTCTTTTTTGTGTTTTTTTTTTTTTCCGCAAGAGGAAGGTACGGGGTGTGTTGATGTTTGTTTCCTTTGCGGAAAGAATGGAAAGGGGTGGAGGGGAGAGGGGTGCTCTGCTTCAGGTGCGAGGTGTGTTGAAGTTGTTTGGGAGTGGGGGTGGGGAGGGGGGAACCTCAAACAAAACACTTTCGATTTCTGTCCCCTTTCCTGCCTTGAACGGACAGGCTGTGCAACCCAAAAGGTTCCTGCTTGAGCTGCCCATGCAAAATCAGAAGTCTCGCTAAAAGTCAAGATGGCCCCGTTTACTGAATGGCTCCCCTGAAAACTGGCGAACAATACGGGAGGCTACACTCCAGGTACACCCTTCTTCCCCTTGAGTTGTTGCCAGGTCTGACACGTCCCAGACTGCTTTGAACCATCAGTCTCCCGCTTCGTGGGTTTTTCCGCTGACCCTTGGCAGGGTCTACCGTCACTGGTCCCAAACCTTGGGGTGAAGCATTCGGCAGGGGTCCATCCAGCCCAATCCCCGGCTTCAAGGTAAGTCGGCCATGGAGCTTTGCCGGGTCTGTGAGACCCCCCCCCCCTGGGTGTATTAAGGCTGGTCTCAACTTGCTCATGCGGGGCGGCGGTTTGCCAGATATTACCATTTGTGTCTTTGATCTTCACGTTGGAGTGCCTTTGAAACAAGCCCAAGCGTATCCTCAAAAACACTAACGCCATGATTTGGTCCTCCAATGAACTTGGAGCCAAAAGCAAGTTTTCGAGGAATCCCCTCCAAGCAGGTGGCTCCAAATGGGCGTTCCATGTCAAAATGTTAGTTTGAGGAGCCTGTTTTGGGTCGAAGCCGAGGCGTGTTGGCTTCAGAGAAGCTCCGATGGAGGGATACGTTCTGCGCACACTGGCAAGCCTTGGAGCTACAGTGGCAGCTGCCCGACACACGCTCAGGCGAGACCCAAATGATCCGAGAGCTGCGAAATGCTGGATTATTTCGTGTTGCGAGTTTCCAGAGAATGGAAAAAACATGTCTAGTTGCTTGTTTTTATTTCTAGAAGCCCAAAGGCAAGTTTTTCTCAGGACCGGGATTTGGAGCGGAGCAACCTCTGGTGGTACCCACCACGCATTCGCGGATGCTGGGGAAGGCTTCTGCGTCTTCAATGACATTGCCGTCGCTGCTCGCTTGGCCCAGCAAGAGTTTGGTGTGACACGTGTGCTTGTGATCGACCTGGATGTGCATCAGGGCAACTTTGGTGCATTTGGCCAAGGGATGTTAGGACCCTCAAAAATAGCTGGGCGTTGCTGTTGCTTGCCTTTAAAGCCAACCCCACAACAGCTCTGGTGCATTTGGCCAAGGGATATTAGGACTTTAACTTTTTGCCAGCTCCTGGGTTTTCCGTATTAAACCACTAAAGGTTAAAGACTGTTAGCAGGGCTTCGCAGATTTCGCAACCGAGGCAATGGCACAGCCAAGATCTTCGCTGGGGACTCGAGGGTGTACACCGTTTCTGTGCATCAGAAGAGCTTTGCCCGAAGCAAATCTTTGACCGGTTGGTTTCCCACTTGTGTCTCATGTTGGTAAGGGAGATTTGTATACTTCCCCGGCGTCTTCAAGCATCACTTTCTGGGCCCATCTACGGTGAGTTTCCCTCCTAGGGATGTGTTAAGGTCCAAAAAGTACTTCCTGATCCCCAGGCTAACACGCCATTTCCCTTTGATCGGGCCTTGCTTACTGAGCAATGGAGCCATGTTAGTAGACTTGTCGGAAATGGAACTGGGTTCAGGAAGGGATATCCCTTCTCCACGCGTTTCCCCTCGGACCTTGAAGTGGACCTGCCGGACGGCTGTGATGACGAGCAGTTTTTGCAGGCTCTCCAACCCTTGGAAGCCTTGGTCAAAAGACAAGCACCTCAGTTGATCATCTACCAGGCCGGCCATTCAACTTTTCTGGGTGCTATTTGGGCGTGCATTGTTCAAGGGTATGTTCTTGCTTGTTGGTGTTAGAGTAAATCCAAAGGAAAACCACGTTTCGCCACTACAGTAGGCTTGCAAGGGGAAACTAGCGGTAAAACCTGGTCTACGGAGTTGTTGCCTTTGCAAGCGCACAGTGGCGAAACGGCAAGAAAGGAAGCACAGGATTTTGAGCCTGGGTTTGGTTGCCAAGTCACGGCAAACAAGCAGACGCCAACAATTTGTGGGTTGCCAAGGTGTTAGAGAATGAAATGTTTGTGCTTCCTAGGGCTTACCCTGATAAATGAAATACAACGAAACGAAATCAGTGAAACCCACCTATTTCTACCCAAGCTAACTGACAAAAGTTCAATGAGGTGAAACCACGGTACACACGGGGGCTCCCTTTACTTTGCAGTTCCGGCGCTCCAATGTGCTTATATGTTAATTGAGGAGGCGCCCTGTTTGTTTGTTCCTTTTTCGTTGTTGTTTTCCCGTTCTCGCGACCAAAAATCCCGGAAGCTCAGGTCACCCTAACTTGGTGGTTTGGATTGGTGGTTTGTGGAACCCCTGGTTCTTGTGGACGGTAAATGGGAAGCCCTCCTCAACACCAATTAGAGAGGAGCTTCTAAAGCTACCTTGCCCATTCCTTCCAGGGATCCTTCTTTTCAGGAAACCATCAGAAACTTAGGGAAACAGATCCGGTGTTTGAAAAGAACGATGGTTGAAAAGAATGGAAAAGGAATCAATTCCTAGCTTATCGGGCTAGCAACCTTTTTCTCTGGCTGCTTGGTACTAAAACAGGCTCCCCCTGGTGCATGGTGCACCATTCCAAAATGAATCTACCGGGATATTTACCGGCTTGATTTCCGACTCAACCCCCCTCAGTGCTTCTTCTTCTCGAACCCCTTCACCTTGTAGTACTCGGCGCGCATCTTCTCGGTTCCCCATCCCTTGCCCTTGTTGGTGTGCTGGAACTCGTTCCAGCTATTGCTGCATGCCTTTACCCTCGACGTCGAGCTCGAGGATGCCGAGGATGCCGCCGTTTCGTTCCAGTGGTGCTCCTGCTCAAACCCCCCTCCATCGTACTTCCGCACCACCCATGTTCGGCCCCACTGATCATGAAGCTCCTGAATCCCACGATCCACCTTCACCAAGTCCCGGGGCTTCTCCTTCACCTTAACGACCTCCTGAGGCTGCACGCCTCTCAGCCTTCTCACACAGCCCACCGCAACACCCGCGGTTTGCTTCGCCACCCACACTGCTCCAATCGCCATCAGGATGACTCCCACAACGAGCAGCAAATCCAACTCGTCCACAGGCATGATGCCTTTCATGGCGGTCGCCTTTCCAACCAAATCTGCCCCGATCACCGCCAACAACCTCACCTTCATACCGAAGCCGTCCGCAGTGACCGCCTGATCCTCCTTGGCCAAAATGGCCTTCCTCATCATCTTCTTTACCACCGGCATGCCCAGGTCTTCCCTGAATCGCTCGAAGGCCTGACCATTAAGCGATTTCGTCATGCCGTCTGCCACCAGCTGCTTTCCCGACAGGTGCGTGAGCGACCAGCCACCATCTTCCAGGGCCCACCGCAACAACGCCGCCCTGATCCGCAAGTGCCTCGTCCTCCAGCTCCCTGACCCGTTTGATGCCAAGGCTATCGCCGCCACGTTGTCCCCATAGATCCTCTTCTGGGTGAGTTGCTCACCCAGGATCACCTCCAACAAAGCAGCTGTCGCCCTTCCAGCCACCAACGACTCGCAGTATCCGATCAGCTCCGCTTCCGCCGTGGATTGCGCCACAAACGGCTGCTTGGTCGCCTCCCATGCAATCGGCGAGCCCGCGAAGTAGACCAAGATGCCCTGCACGCTCTTGTGGTCTCCTGCTGTGCCATAGCTGATGTCCGAGAACACCTCCAGCAACTTATCGTGCCGCTTCACGCTCAGGTGATCCCGAGCGCCCCATCCAGTAGCCTTCGCGTACTTGAGGCCCACGTCGGTCGTGGCGTTCACATACTTCAACAACGCCATGCCCACATCCACCACCTGCTTCGGGCTCTTCATGTTACGGGCCATTGTTGCGACTCCCGCCATCAAATCTGGCCTCGTCTTCGTTGCCAACCAAAGCAACCCACCCGTAATTGCCTGTGCCCGTCGAAGCATCGCGGGATCCAACTCTTCTTCCTCCTCCGGAGCCTTGTACATCGGCACCTCCATCTTCTCCCGAACGCCCCATTTCTCCACCAGCTCCTTTGCGTAGGCGCTCTGCCTCAAGTCAAAGCCCTCCTCCGACTTCCACATCTCGAAACCACAATACCTCAACGGCTCCTCCTCCGATGGCCATTCGATATCTGACAGCGGCCACTCCTGTTCAATTCTCTTTACCGCCGCCTTGATAACCTCCTGCTTGGCCGCTATCAGCACGTCGTCCACGTAGATCGACATGAAGCCCATATGCCTTTCGGTGAGGTCGACCCCTTCCACGTGGCATCCAATGATCTTCCAAAGGTTCGGCTCCGACGTGACCTCAAACCTCATGTCCCACTCCACGTCCTCCTCATCCTTCCACTTCCACATCATCTTCTTGAACATGCCATCGCGATGCACCCCCCAGTCCTTTGGGCTTGTGGTCAACCCATAGACCGCCTTGTCTATGATCCACACTTCCTCCTTGTTGGCCAACCCACATTCCCGGAAGATCGCCGGCACCTCCATCACCACCGTCTTGGAATCATCTCTTCTCGGAGCATGAAGAAATGCCGTACGGATGTCGGTCCCCGCCAGGGACCACCCTCTAATTGCTGCCATCTTCGCCAAACTCCTGATCTGAGTGGCATCCGCTCCGGACGCATATGTGTCCTCCTGTGCGGTGCTGCTTGCGAAGTTGCCGCACACAACGCCCCGAACCTTCCTCCTTCATCGGGCGCCTTCCTCGTGCACACTGCCTTTGACGGCAGGAATTCCACCATTCCCGGCAACTCGTTGACCTCCTTCCTAGACACCGGTCTCACCGCCTTCAGCTCCTCGGTCATAGCGATGTACTCCTTCTTGGCCGGCTCAATCCAGTGCTGGAGCTCCGTCCTCACCTCTTGCATTCCTACCGTCTTCGTGACCCACCACTCCTCTTCCAGGCGGTCTGCGTCCTCCATTTTCATCTGTCTGAGCTTCATCTCAAGCTCGTTTTTCTCTTGAACTCCTTCGCGAACCACCGGGAGCCACCACTCTTGCCCTTCCCCAACTCCATCCAGCAGTTCCATTTCTTCAGCTACCCAAGTAGCGATGTTGCTGTGGTGCTCCAACATCTTCTCCTCCACATCCTCCCCCTCGACGCGCATCGTCGACAGCTTCTGTTTCCCATTCAGCCGCCGCCTCTTTGGCGCCAAAAGGTCCACCTCCGGTCTCACCTCCAAGTTCACCGCCCCTTGCTCTCTGTTCAGGGCTTCCTCTACCTCCATGTTGATCTCCTCGGGCTCCGGAATTGCATCCGTGGTCGAGAAGAACTCCCATCTTCGCAGCTCCTCACCCAATATCCACCCGAGGTGAGCGACATCGCGGCATCCGGGCCCATCACCGTGACCCTCTCTCTGTCCCACCTCCAATCCTGGTAGCGGTCCGTCCATGCCTTCTTCTTCACGTAGGCAACGGACGCGAACGGCAGCAGTTGCTTCGCGGGGTATCCCAAGCTTCGAAGCTGACCCCGCAACATCCTCTCTGCTGCTTGCCGCAGTGCCAAAGGCCACACCTCCACCTTCTCCTTGGAGGCGCACAAGATCGTCCTTGTCGCCCTTTTCAAAGCACCCACAACCTGCTCGGCACGACCGTTTTCCTTGTAGCTATCGCCGGGCACGGTCGTCTTGTAGATGCCTCTATCCTCCGCGAACTTCCTGATTGGAGCCGACACCAGCTCCCGCGCCCGATCCGAATGAAGGCGCAACACCGGCAGCCCCAGCGCTCGCAACCGAGCACATATCCGTGCAATAGCCGGCAGCATGTTCATCGCCTTCCTGTCCAGCACGGGCTCCGCGAAAACCAAGTTCTTGACCTTGAAGCTCGCCCCCTCTTGCACCATCTTCTTCCACTTTTCGAGGTCACCAACGTCCTTTTCGTTCTCTCTTTCCTCTGCTACAGCTTCCTCATCTTCCCGTACCTCCAGTGGCTCCATCTCCTCGTCCGCCTCCGGTAGTAGGTCATCTTCTGCAGGAAGCGAATGTTCCTCTTCTTCACGCACCAGTGACCTCCCCTTCATGTCCACCGGGTACGTGTACACGCCCACCAAGAAGTACGCCACCTTTCCTCTCTGGTCAACCCCCTCCTTGAGCTTCCCGGAGAGGTCCACCGCCAAGGTGTATGCATCCGGGTGAGTGACTCTCACATGCGGTCTCCCCCGTCCCTGGGCTTGGACGCACGTTTTGCAATCCCTTCTCGCCGGCATGTGGTCGTTGAGGAAGTGCGTCTTCCATCTCTGCAGCTCGTCCACACGCACCGGCTTCAGCAGCAGCTGCATCTTCAAATGCATCCTCACCGCTTTCATGATCTCCGTCTTCAAACCCGGCGCCCAACACGCCCATGATTTCGTCTGCTGGATCCGCTCCTCAAGGCTTCCAGTCCATTCCTCCTCCCCCGTGCCTGGGCCCCCCAGTCCATCCAGATGGTCCAGGTACGGCGCATTCACACCGATCGTCGTCGGTTTCCGCCTCCGATGGCCCAGTGCTCCTTGGTCACATCGAACCAGGTGCATACCGTACTTCTGCTCAAAGGTCTTCCATTCCTGAAACCTCCACACGCTGACGTAGTCCGGGTTGCCATCATCCCGGTACTCTCCAGGATCCCGTGGCTGCTCCTTAACGAACAGCACCTTGTCCTCCGCCGATGCCTGCGCCACCACGTGCAATGTGAGCATCCTTAACCACAGCACCGCGTCACCCTCGACCAGCTCCTTCTCGTACAGGTTCAGCCCCTTCTTGCCGTAGGGCTCTTCCACCGACCTCACCGGCCTGGGCCCAGGGCTCCTCGTTCTGCAGGCCGAGACCGTCCTGCACGGCGGGCCGCCCAGGATCGCCTTGACCTTGCCCGTCCTGGCCAACTTCAGCAAGTACGCAAACACCTGCGGCCTGTGAAGGTCCTGGCCCGGGTCGATGGCCGTGTCCACACACATCACCACGACTCACCGACCTTCAAGGCCATCCATCCACTCCTTCTCATTCGCACCCGCAAACAAGTGGATAATGAGGTGCTCTGCCCGTTCGAACGTCCGCCTCCTTCTCCTATTCCAGGGCAGCTCGTCCCCATCCACCTCCATGCTGGGCATCACCCGGCTCATGATCTCATCCGGCACCCCCGGGAAGAACTCCTTCAGTGCCTTGGTCATGGCCAGCTCCGGTCTGTCCTTCAACTGCTCCATCGGCATCTTCATCGCCGCCAACCGCAGCATAAGTGGTTCCTTCCGCCAGGATCACCTTTGTCGGCGTTGCGGCTTCCCACTCCTCCAGGTCCTTGCACTTCCGCAGTGCATGAGTTGCTCCCCCGTCTAGCAGGCCCTTGTTGATGACTACCGTGTTCATCTCCTTGATCACCACCATTGCCTTCGCGGATGGAGCCCTCATGGACCTAAGAAGCTGTGTTGCTTCCGCCAACAGCTCCCCCGTTCCACCACCTGTAGATGTCGCCGTCCATGCCGTGGCCGCCACCTCCGCTTTCTCGATCTTTTCCGATCCTCCTGCATTCCACCCACTCGCTCCTGTGCTTGCTCCTGCAGGACCGCTTCCACCACTACCAGCTGCACCACCTCCCCCCGAGCCGTCTCTCGGCTCGTGCACTGCAGCTTTGACCACCGGCTTCGCTGGCTGGCCCTTTCCTCCACCTTTCACCGGACAATCCGGTCGTCGGTGCTGCTTCGACCCACAGATCCAGCACCGCACATTCCGATCTGCGACTGACTCCCAGTCGTGATTCCACTTGCACCCTTTTCCCAAGCGACATCCATGCTCCGACCCAAAGTACCTGCATACCGCCGTACCCGTCTCCTTTTTCGCATGGTCCGGAGCAGGCCTGTCCGCTATGGTGCCCGTGGCCATTGCCTTCACCTTGGCCGGTTCCACCGTCATCAACCTCGCCGTATCCATCTCCGCAAGCAGCAACTCGGAGTAGTTCCAAATGCTTTGCACCGTGGGCGTGGTGTCTAGCCCCAACTGTGTCCGCGCTTGGGCAACCCGAAAAGCTTGCGGCCCTCCACGATTCACCAGCTGCGTCACTTTCTCCAATGCAAGCAGCTAGAAGCGTAGGGTCTGGAAGCGAGGCTCCAATCTCCTGCGCTCTCAGGTAGTACCTCCTCCATTCTCTCAAAGCGACCGCTGCTTCTGCAACCGTCCTCATTTGGCCCAAGTCTGTGAGCTTCCTGAGGATCAAGGACCGTTCTCCAGGACCACCAGGCTGATAAGTCACCAACAGCCTGTACAGCACACCCGTGCTGCTGATGTCCCTTGCCGAGATCAACTCCTTGCGAATCTCCTCCGGAATTGCCCGCAGCAGCATGGTGACCCCGCGCTGCTCCGTCCGCACGAACCTGGCGGTTCTGAGAGCCTCCTGGATCCCGACCGTGATCTTGAGCCGGTCCAGGGGAGTGCTCCTCAACCAAACCTCGTAGAGCTTCTTTGCCTCTTCCATGGTGCCCATCCACCACTCCGCCGCTCCTTGAGAAAGATCCTGCATCTGGGGACCCACCACAGCGAACCAATCCCCCAACGTCAATGGAGAATGATCATACGCCAGCTCCGGCAGTTCCACCTTCGCCCCTGCTCCTCCCGTCTCGATCTGGTCCAGCGGCTTCGCCTCCGCCTTTGTGTTCTGATCCCAGTCGTCCCAGGAGCCCCACAAGCCGCTCCAGTTCCTGTACCATCCTCCACGTGGTTGCTGATCCCACCTCGCCTCCCAGCCTGAGTCAGCATCTTCCGTCCTCGGCGGTTCTCCTTCCGGCACCTGAGTTCCACCCGCGGTGTACCTCCATACAGGCGACCTGGTCCTTGCTCTCGGGGTACTGGCCGTCCTCACTGCAAGAACTTCCACCGACCTCGGCGGCGGTGGCGGTGGCGGTGGTACCGGGGGCACAGTCTGTGGAACCATCGCTTGTGCCATCGGAGTGACAAACATCTCCTCCACCGGCGTCTCAAACCTTTCCGGTTCCACATTCCTCTCTCGAACCGCTTGTTCATACTGTTCCTTCCAGAACTTCGCCTTCTTGTGGGCCTTTCTGGCCTCTCCTCTCAGCTCTTTGATCATGCCGAAGAGGTACTCCCGCTGCTTCTCCATGCCGACCAGCTTCTTGCACGCCCGGCCGTAGTTTCTCTCCATATCCTCAAACAGGTCCATCTCGCCAATCAGCTCTTCCTCCTCGTTTGGGCGTTGGGCCTTCTCCGGGATCCACACCTTGAGCTCATCATGCCAAGCCCAATCCAGGTCCAGACCGCGGCCACCCCAGGTCCACCTCCTGGCTTCCTCTCCACTGCTTCCGGCAGCACCAGCATATTCTTGACCTCCGCCAAGAATCCCGGACCTCCTTACTGCCGCATCCCAACCTTCTTCAACTTCTCGTTGTTCTCGGCCTCGCCCAACCTGATCTTGCCGATGCTCAGGTCCCTGTTGTAGCCTTCTCCCATCACTCGGCCTCGGGACCGGCCGCTCTCCTTGCCCTTCACCAGGCTGTCCAACTTGTCGATCACCTCGCCCGTCTCGTTCTCCTCCAGGACGACGCTCTTGTTGATCTCTTCGACCACCATGTTCATCACCCGGCCGACGGACCTGCTGATCTCCTTGCCCATCACGTTCTGCACCTTGCCATAGTGCTCGGGCATCCACCATCCGAGGCCCACGAAGATCACCTTCTCGCCCCATCGGTCTGCCGCGCATGGATCCATATCCCTCCATGCCTCTACTAGGCTCTCCACGGCTTTCACCAAGCCGACCATCATCTCCTCGTTGAAGTCCACCATCATTCCCATGTGGTAGCCCTCCACCTTCGTTCCCACGACCCCCTCCAGGTCGCCGATCTCGGTCATCCAGCCCGGGTTCACGGACATCATCCGGGCGAGGAACACCTCCACCAGGTGCGACGGACGCTCCCTCAAGGTCAGCCAAGAGGTCCCTCTTCACGTCGCTCCAGAACTCCTCATTCGCCCGGCTGGAAACCGCCTCAGGGTGCTCACCGTTCTGACGATCATCCCTTCCGAGCAGTCCACCATCCGGGCCAGGTTCTTCATGAAGATCTTCTTCACCCAGCTTTTCATCTGTCCCCGGCACCGGAGGCAGCCCGCTCGGTCGGCTCGCCTTCAGCGCCGCTTCATCTCGCGCGCGTTGACTCCAGAACGGGTTTACATCCACCCGTCGCCCTTGTGCTTCTTCCCCAGCGTGTGGCGGCCCCTCCTCCAGCTCGCCCTCGGCCTCCGCCACCATGATGCCCATCCCGGCATCCACGCTGCGGGCTCGCCTCCTCCGCATGCCAGCATCCATTGCACGGCCAGAGGAGCTACGTCTTTGGGCTCATAACCCTTATCGGGCTAGCAACCTTTTTCTCTGGCTGCTTGGTACTAAAAGGGGGCTATCGGTTCAACACAAATCCAACAGGCCTAGAAAGCCGAGAAGCCGTTCGAGGCCGGGGTGGATGGCCTCGCCGGTGACCGCTTTGGGCGCTGGAACCTCACCCGCCCTGGGCTGCAGGCGAATGCCCGGGAAAATGAATGAAAGGAGCTAGGTTCAATCCATGGGCATAGGTGTCCTTTTTAGGTGAGCCTGCTTAAAAGTGGATGGCACTGGTTTAGATGGGTTTTGTTCCATTCACCACGGCCATCTATTTTTTCAAAAGGCCACCTATGTCCATTTGGGGTGGATCAATATTCCACTTAGGGCCTTCAAAGCCAAAGGATGGATCACTTGTCCCATGTTGGACCTGTCATTTTAGTGGTTTTCCCACCCATGCAAAGGACATTTCGAACAGCCCTCAATGGGTGGTTTGTTCAGATGTGTCCAGACTTGCTTCTTTCTTGATGCCAGGTTGTTTAAGCATGTTTAAGCTGGGGTTGGCCCAACCCTGGCGTTAGGCGCGGAATGACTTGGTGTACTCTCTCGCGGCGGCGCATGGGATTCCCCTTATCCTAACGATGGGCGGCGGGTATCACAAGGACATCCTGCAAACCGTGGAAGCCAGCGCCGACGCCTATCGACAAGCGCTAGCCTGGCAGAGCGCAAAGGAAAAAACACTGCGAATCTCTTAGCCGCCTGCATGCTTGGCTGTTCAAGAGCCATCCGTTCTTTAGCTTTTTAGCTTTTCGGGTTTAGTGGAGGTTACATTTACACAACCCACCACAAGTTAAACTTTTGGCATAGCTTTTGGTGGGTGTTGGGCTCGATTTGGGACTTTGCCACCCCGCGGTATGATGCGTGGGTCCTCCATCTTTAGCAGGGCCCGCGCGTAAATTATCGAATTGCCCAAGAGGACCAGCCCTCATGAATGTCAACTTCAGATAAATGCGGAGGGCTGTACTAAGCAGGGGTGGTTCCACCTGTGGGGAATTCATTCATAGGGGTTCTTCTGATTCATTGATCCGCGGGGCTAATCCGAGGTTGGAAACAGTACCGTCCTCCTGATAAATCCGAAGTTGATATTAATCAATTATCCTGGGTCAGAGAGTTCGCTGTCTTTTTCTGTCAGGAGTTTGGCGTTGGAGAAGATGGCAATGGACAGACCGTGTATGTTTACGACGCCAGTCAGGAGATCAACGATCTCGGCGTGTTGGTCATGAGGCGTCCTTCTCGCGTGCGAGCTTGGTACATCCATGACTCGTGTGGCGACAGGTGTCCCCTCACGGGCAAGAATGTGAACCCCTTCACCACCGAGGCAGGCTGTCAAGCTTAGGAATGCTCTTTATGGACGAATCCTCAATTGCTCAACTAGCTGTTTATTGATCCCATGCAGCTTCAATGCAATACCGTGGCAAGCATCAAAGCACGTCTGGCTCGGGGCATTCCTCGATTTTCATTTCAGGCCCTTTGTGAAGCCTCATGAGTCAATATGCCATGCTGCACAACAGATCGACACGTCATGATATGTCTACTCGCCTGCGGACCTCGCCCAGCGTTCTATGCCCCAGGTTTGGCGATCCATCCATGCCGAGTTCGTTCGAGCAGCCTCTCTGCTACAAGCAGGCGGGAGAAGACGCGATCGGAGAGAGAAAAGAGAGATAGAGAGAGAGAGGGAGACAGGGAGGGAGGGAGGGAGGGAGGGAGGGAGGGAGGGAGGGAGGGAGGGAGGGAGGGAGGCAGGCAGGGAGAACATAACTTCTGTTTTCAAAATTGCATATTGTAACCCTGACCTTGCAGAGGGTTGTGGGAATGAGTGGTTCTTTGCACTGAATACCAGGAAACCTCCGGCAAGTGAAAAGTTACATAGTCAGTGGAAGGCCGTGCTTCCCTCTACCACAGAATTGGTCTCCCCTGAAGCTTGTTGCAGAAGCCTGTGGGAAGCAATAGTTGCGTAGCAAGGGGAAGCCATTTAAACGAATCCGAAGCTTTCCCGGAAGGGACCACCTTGTATTCGGATACCCCTCAACCCGTTGTATTCGGGGTACACCCCACGGTCAAAACACCGTTCTACTTGGGGCTTGGTAAGGATAGTCATGGAATTCTGGAAATAAACAAGGGCTTGTGAAAAGCACCAGGTTGACGCCTCACGTGGGGTGCCTTGTTGGACCCTTCCTGCTAAGCGACAGTTTTTTGGCGGCATGAGTTGTTCGGCAGCACTGTTGAATTCTTTTGTGTTGGCAAGCTCCCAATGAAACAGTCTCCTGCTCCGAAAGCAGCTGGTGAGCCCGGCGTCTAGGATCACTAGTAGCTGGGATTAGGACCATGTCAGTTTGAACAGCCTTCACACAACAGACACAGAGAGCAGAGAGATGCAGGACATAGCCTCCAGGAGCTGTGTGAGCCCGCCGAGGACAGGGTGAAGAATTCAAGTGTCTTGGAACCCCCCTTTTGCTTGAAAGTTGAAAGGGGAGATCAAAAGGAAACCTTTTGCACTTTCAAAATGGTATGAAAAGGTCCGAAAAGTGTATTGGTGTGTCTTTTCTTGTACCCTTTTCGGGCTTGCTCTAAGAAAGTGTGTGGCTTGCTCTAATGGACACCCAGAGTTCACTCATCGGAGTCCGGGGCTGGAAAAAAAATCGAGGCCCGCCTCCCCGCTTCTCCAATGTTTGCTTCGGGTGGCACGATCCGTCCCAATGGAACCTGACAGCAAGGGTAGCTTGGTGGCAAGCCCAGCCATCCAGTTCCTGAGGTGTGTTTAGCTGTTTCGTCGGTGAAAAGGGGGGTGTCCATTTAACCCACACGTTAGACTTTTAGGGGATCAGTTTGGACAGCGGCAAGACGACGAGCTGCGGAGGTTCCTCCATATTCCTTTTTGGAACCCCCAAAAGTGGCATGTTCAATGGAAACCACCAGTAAATTGATCAACTTTTGAAGGGGAAATCCAGTGACCTTTGAGGTAAGACGACTTTCAAATTATGGGAACCGGTCATTGGACAGGTGTGCTTGCTTTTCCGCAAAGCTGTTGACAGAGGCTTGCAATTGCAAGAAGCGTCTGGGAACAAATAGGGAATCCCGTTTTCAAATATCCCTTAGCCCAGTTAGTCCTTGTAAAGATTCAAGAACGGCGAGAACCATGGACAGTCAAGCATTCTGGTATTAGTCCTGAGGTTGCTTTCTTTCTTGGGGCATGGCTTTCCCGTCAACTCAACCACAACGCAGGAAGTAAACAAGATACATTTGGGGAAGATGCTCTGTGAGAAGATCATGTTCTACATGTTGGGCAGATGTTTTTTTTGTTCTTTGACAGGTGCTTCCCGGCCATCCCCTTAGGTTTGTAGCTTTCTAGGGTTTGGTGGGGGGGGTCCATCTAACCCGCAAGCTAAACTTTTAGCAGGGGACCTGAACGCAAGCCAGTTCTTTCTTGGTCGCAACCAGGAAGTGGTTGCCGCAGAGTGTTGAGCAACCCCAGGCGTTGCCATCTGGCTGCGGGCATCGGGGAGGAGGCCTAGGAGCCTTGGCGGCAGAGCAGCCTCCGCCGGACCACTGCAGGTTCTACCAACCCAACCAGCCAGTCAAAGGAAGGCAACCAAAACTTTCCAACCAGTCAATCGGGTTCTACCAACCAACCAACCAACCAACCAACCAACCAACCAACCAACCAACCAACCAACCAACCAACCAAAGAGGCAAGCAACAAAGCAACGAAGCGACTGACCGACCAAGCCAACCCCAACAAAACCACAAGAAGTTTGAAGGTTAGTTCCGGGACATTCCAACCGGACACCGAAGCAACGCACGATTTGTTTACAGTTCCGGTACCAACTTATGTCCTTCTGGGTGTTGGTTCTGACGAGGTTCTCCCTTAGGAACCGGGCTCCTTTTCGACTGCTTCTTGCCACCTGTCTTGCCTTTCCTTCCATTCCCCAGTGTTTCCATATTCTTCTATGCGCCCAAAGCAAATCCGCTGACGAAAAATTCTGGGAACTGACTGGCTGGGTCGCCTGCCTGAGCTCGCAGGCGTGGAGATCGCCGCGGCACTGGTGTGGGATGAGGAGCTTCCGAACGAGCAAAAGATGCGGAGCCCACTTCGTAGGCATCTCGAGTTTCTTTAGGCTCGAGTTTTCACCAGTTGGATAGACTCCGTGCCAATTTACCAGTTTTCCCATTTCCAAACGCAAGGGCGTGGGGAAGACCACTGATGTCACTGAAGGCCCTTCCCAATGACCAGTCGTTCGATTTGACACACGAATCAGGGAGGTTCCTGGCATCGCGGAAGCGGGGGCGTCAACGTGCTCTGCATGCTTGGTGCGTGATCACGGTATCAAGCAGGCCGCGAGATGGTCAGAGCCATAAGCACGCTTACACCGGCCTTGTTTGAAGCACTCGACTTGACACGATTCATCTCAACTCGTTGTGTTTACCTGTGCTTGTTGTTCACACTTGGTTGTTCGCAAGACGATGTTGACCGTGGTGTACGAATGTTGAAGTACAAACACGCACGACAACACAACCCAAACAGCAAGCAACCAACCACACACAGCAAGCAATCAACACTTGGGCTGTGCGCCTGCCTGCGTATCGGTATGGGACTGGACGGAAATGTGTTAGGTTGGCCATGCACCAGCAGCGGCCTCGGAGTCCCTTTTGCGGCCAGGGAAAGGCATGGAGTTGGAGTGTGCAACGGTTCTTAGTTTGAAGTACCCTCCCTCCTATGGAAGCTGATAAGGGATTATTAAGTTATGAAGACGACATAAGACGACTTTCCCTTTTGGAGAAGCCCCTTCTGCACGGAAAGCTTTTGTTAGGCAAGCCCCTCCACTTCCATTGCAAAGGGTAGCTGGCGAAGGAACTTGGCTCGGCGGATTTCGGGGACTCACATTTTTTTTTGAGGTGCGGTGCCTGTGGAGCTCCGAGCCCAGAGTATGCCTGCTCAAGATGCAAGGCGCGGGTCACGCGCAATGGCAATGACTTTCAACAAGAGCCTCCAAGCTTTCCGGTTCCATAGACTTTTAGCTGCTTTTAGCTTGTTAATTAGTTGGTTTAGTGGTTGGGCTTCCATTCAACCCACAAGTTAAACTTTTTGCAGGGGATCAGAAAGCGGACAGCCCCGCTTGAAAGTGCTTGGTAGACGTGAATCTGCGCGTAATGATGTCCATCACAGGGTCCCCTTAGAGTTCGAACACAAATTGGCCAATGGCACATATCCTTCAACCCGGAGGGAGGAGCCTCCGGTTTCTTCTTGGGGCTCTCTGGAATGTTCCTGAAAGGAAGCGCCAATTGGGGGCGCGACCAGAGATAAGGACCAGAGATTTTGCCCACAGAAGGCAATAGTCGTCCACCCCAAAAGCGAAGCCGGTTCCGGCAAGAGTGAGCCGCACTCCATACCCGAAACTCGAGGTTGAAGGTTGGTCCCTTTGCCATAGATGTGTGGGAGGAAACTGTAGCTGTTATGACCAACCACGAACCTACTGGTGTTTCTTAAAGTAACTGAGTGGTGTCCGTTCTCCTTGTGGTTTCCTCTTACCATCCCACGGGGGGGGTTCTCCTATTTGGAGAAACAGCCATGTTTAATCGCGGCAATGGACCAAGGTTGGTTTACAGCCATCCCCTTTAATTTGTAGGTTAGGGTTTGGTAAAGGATCTGGGAACACCCCAGGCAAGATCTGGGGGGGGGGGGGGGAATACGGCCTCTTGGCCTCTTGCAGAACGGGTTAGGTCCATGAAACAGAGATGTTGACCTTCGGACTGCGGTCATGTCAAATAGCCCCGACCCTCTTTGCCTATTCGGTTGAAGCTCGGTGAAATCGCGACGACCGGAGGTTTGCAACGTCGCAGCTGAACATTCCTTTATTCTGGGTCGGTGACTCATATCTTTTCTTGGTTGGTGAACTATGACATTCATTCAGATGTGACTGGTCCAGTGGTCCAAATCAGATTTCTCTGGGCAAAGGCAGGACACCCCTGCGCTTTGACTTGGGGTTCGGGGAAAGAAGCACCCCTGTTTCAGATGGGGTCAGCCTTCGTCGGGATATTCATGAGGGCCCACCCAAAACCCCCATTGGTTCATGTTGGTTCTATTGCCTAGTTTCATTGGGAGATAGTCGTACAAGCCTTTGATCATGTTGAGTTGCGAACCAAAGTCAACTGTCTCTCGAAAGGGGCGGTAGAACCGCGCGACTTCGTGTTTGCTCGAAAGCACGCAAAACATGGCATTTAAAAAACAACCCCAAAGTGAACAAAGGCTTCCATGTGCTTAAGAACATTATTTTATTTCCCCTTGTTGGTTTAAAGAAAATCTATCACTACTGAATACATGTTGTTTTTTCCAGGCGGTTTAAGCAAGCGGAAGAAAGCGAGGGGGGGTTCTCATTCTGCCGGGCCATTTTCAGGCAAAGTTCTGCGGCCGCGACTGCTTTGTTCGGGCCTGGCCGCAGCACAAGGCGACGGTTCGTCTCCCGTCCGTGTCTCCGGCTATTTCCTATTGGCGTCCTTTGGATGGTCGAGTTGAAAAATAGGGAGATTCCTGGTTCACCTGGTTTGATCATCTACCAGGGAAACCCAGCAATTTTCCAAAAAGGACGCGTACCTGTCTTCTTGTTTAGATGGAGGATTCTGATGGGTACATCAACCATCAATTATAACTCGGGCTTTAATTACGGGAAACCAGGCACCAAGGCTCAGCGTGCAGTCATTTGCTTTCCCATCGCCGAGGAAAAGGAAATGACTGGCCCGAGCATGTCAAGCTGCAATTCAAGGCATGCAGGCAGAGCAAGGCTTGCCAAAGCTGGCCGTGGCACGAAACTGAGGAAAGTCTTGCCAAAAAAAAACAATGTTCCTTCCAGCGCCAGTGGGGTCTGTTTGCCTTGACCATCACTGTGGTTTGATGGGCTGCAGGGTTTTCGCAAACTACGGAACCTGTTGTTCTTACAAACAGCCTGTTTCGGGGGGTTCGTTCTGACGGCTTTTTGTTAGCTGAAGGTTTTAGTGGCAAGTCCAAGCTGAACAAGAAACAGATTTTGCAGGTAGCCAGGGTGGGAGGGTGCGGTTGGGAGGTCATGTTGGCAATGGAATTGCAGCATTGTTTGCAGCCGAGAAGCGTTGGACGCCTGATAGACTGGGTTTCTCCCGCGAGTTCAGGGTGCGGCAGTGGGCTCCAAAAGGAGCAATCGGCCTTTGGCAGTCAGCTTGGTTCGTTTGATCGTCTAGAGGGTGTGTTGATAGGAGACTCTCCAGAAAACGATACCCCTGGAAAACGATGGAATCGCTGGAAAACGATAGGGGACTCTCAAACTAAGTAGCGAAACGGCCGTAAGTGAGTAATTTCGACCGTGCCTCATATGGGCCTGTGTGTGTGTGTGTTTGTTTTGAGGGTGCACTTGTCAGGTTGGTTTAAAGGGAAACCAAATGGACAGCCACTTGTTTGCGGGTCCCCGTACTTTGACACACACACACATGTGTGTGTGTGTGTGTGTGTGCGTGTGTACAGATACTATGTACATATATATATATATATGTATATATGTTCTTGGCACCTTCAGGTTCGACGCTTGCTGTTGGGAGGGTAGACCCTTTTGTTTTTCTCCAAGGTTTTGACTCATATATATATATATACACACACATGCACAGTATTTTGTATGTTTGCATGGGAGTACGGCCCCGTCCGGTTCGTTCGGTTGCAAGGCACATTGCACGGCCAAGCCATCGGCCAGGACGATTCTCCGGAAAAATCGGGGAAAATCCGAAATGGGGGAAATCAGCGGGTATGTGCCAAAATAAAGTATATGCGTGTTTGTTTGTTTCGAGGGCACGCTTTTCGGGGTTGGTTAAAGTTAAAAAGCAAACCAAAGGCAAAAAACCCATTTTCGGGGATGCCCCTATTTGGGCACACACACACACATATTCAACGTCCCGGTCAGCCTTTGTGTTTGCACACTCCCTTGAGGGAGTGTGCAAGTGACAGGTTTGTGCCACCCACAGACGGGTGGGTTACCCCATCAAACATTAAGGAGACTCAGCACACATTAGGCGGCACTTTCAAGAAGCAGAGTTTGCCTTGAATGCTGCTGTTGAATCAGAACGCCCTCACTTCACAACCTGCACGACTGTGGTGATGGCGGATTGGCAGCTAGCCCGTGCATCAGATAGTACACGCATCTCCCGTCAGCGCCTCTGCTTTCAAGTCAACTGACGGCAACTTGCACTGCAGTCTTTTGCATCCATCAGGAGCCACATCTCCAAATATTCTACCAGCGCTTTGCCCCCCAACGGAGTGCCCCGCAACGCAGCGGTTTCGTTCGCTCTTTGGCCCGGGGAGCGCCTGCGAGAAACGGAAAGACGCGGCGGGAAAGCCTCGAAGCGTGGCGCAACTCGGCACGGAGAGCGGCGCATCTCACACGCGGGGGGTGCGTCGTTCTTATGGCGCGGGCTGCTTTCTTCGCCGTGTCATGGCCATGAAAGGACTTGAGCTTCGCTCATTTTTCGGGGGGCAAGGGAGGCGGAGTGTGTGACAAAGCTCTTGTTTTCCGTTACAGGGCCTGCAGACCGAGGGGGGTTGTCGCGACGACACAAATAGTTTTGGTTGCTGCCGAATCGCTTGTATGGGCACTTACGACCGTTCCAGGGGGTCCTTGCGGTTGTTTGACCAACACCGCCCTGCAGTGGCTCCAGGAGGCGCATTGCCTTCATCGACTTTTGGCCGGGCTTCGAGGACTCCGAAATCGTAGTTCGGCGTTGAGACGAAGCGAGCGCTGATTTTCCAAACACCGCGTGGGCTGCAAGCCCTTTTTTTCTGGAGGGGCAAGCCCCTTTAAAATGAACTACCACAAAAAGATCCCCTTGTTTGTCCCGTGGTCATTGGGATTCCTTCGGACAAAAGAGTAAACGTCTAGAGAAATTCGTTGTGTGACTGTGGCGACTTCACCGGTTGGAGGTGTGCGAGCTCACACATGATGCAAGTTACTCCTTGGTGCATTTTGCCAAGGGCTGTTGGGACTTCAACTTTTTGCCAACTATTGGGTTTTCCACTAAACCACTAAAAGTTAAGCTTTTAGCAGGGGAGCAGAAAGCAACCGAGTACTTGTCTAGATGCTCCCTGCTTTCAGTTGATGGAAGTTCTGAATTACCCATGACTGAATGGGTTGCGTCCGCCATGTTGAGATGGCAGGGCCAATAAATCGCTCAGTAGATTGCAACAGTCCAGCCAATGTGAGCGTAGTTCTTTTAATGGCTTGAATATATTTATTTTTTTGGGCCCCGCCAGGATTTGGGGAGTGTTGACCATAGTGCTGACTGTGACTGGGTGTTGACTGTGCAGGGGCACGCACTGCTTGGTTTTGCGCAGCTTGCAAAGCGAGTGTCAAGCACAGGCAGCGCATTTCTTGGCACTTCAGTTTTCTTGGCAGTTTTCCCTGTAATGCCAGCCATTCTCAGGCACCCCGCTGATTACTGACGCGCGCTGTTTCGCACATCCTCCGCTTGTACTTGAGTAATGAACCTGCAAAAGAATACCGCTGGTGCTCCGCGAGATGCTCAACGTGCCTGTGGCTTCTGTTGCCACCCCGAATGCCCTGCTTAACATTGTGCTGCAACAGGCAAAAATGGTTGTAGGTAAGCAATGGCATAACTTTTGCATGGCCCAACCCAATTTGGCCAACCTGCGCACATGTTTCTATGCGGAGGGCAGGGCAAGCATAATTAACGAGATGGCATGGATTTGTTTCAAATGTCATGCAAGATGTTTTCCATCCACCGTATGGGCGTGTCGGCTTTTGAGCGTGTCGCGCTGGGGATGGATTTAAAGGGAAGCCAAGAGGAAGCACGCATTGTGGGGTGCCCCTATTTGAAGCCACGCCGATATGCAGAGAGGAGGCCGCTTGTTCTGTGTGCTTGGGGCACAGGACGACACCGACCAGTGGTTCTGCAAGGAGGGCGAAGAGACTGTGATGCATGTATTGGCTTTTTGCCAGCTGGTTCTACGTGGATTCATAGGGATCTGCACGCAGCCCACCACAACCGCTATGGTTCTGTGGTGGTAGAACCAAGAGGCAGTAGGTTGAAAATAGATGGCACTGGTTTGTTCCAGCTATGCCGCAGGAATGGTTTAGAAAGAACCTGAAAGACGCCGACGTGGTCAGCGTTTCGGCCGCGACCTTGAGGCTGACTAGCACAGGGGGACCCTCAATCGCCTTTTAGCCAGCAAAAACCAACAAAAGTTGACGGGTTTTTTGCGTCAGACGTCCCACGCCTAGGCCAGTCAAAGAGAAGATTCACTGAAAAGGGTCTCTTGCCCAGGAGAACCCCGATGTCATCATGTTCAGCTTGCGCTGCTCACAGAGAATCTGTCTCTGACGTTTTTGATTGCCTCGCGTGAAGAGCTCCTAGGTTTGGACGGAGCTTCCTTTCCTATCTGCACTCTGGCTCAGCTGCAA